TATGAGAGAATTTTTATTAATGGATTTTTATTAACTCTAATTTCGAATTAATAACTTTGTTGAAAATAAGTGGTCTTGCCATACTTCCAAGTCCAAAAGCAAAACAAGCAAAAAAAAGTAAAGGCCTTGCGAACGAAATGCAAAGTGAAAGACTAAGGGAAATTTTTTTTTTAAAAAAAAAGAGTAATATCTGATATGATTATGCGCGCTTCTCAAATTTCTATTTTTTATTGGTTGAAATAAGCAATTATCTGATTGGGTTAATTATTAATTATGGCGTCGAGTCACGTGACTCGGCATAACTTTTAGATTTGCACGATTTTATCGCTATTTTGTTACTAATAAAGTATTTTTCGAAATTTTAATAAAATATTTATGATTTACACATTAAAACACTATTAATTATCACTAAAATTCATGTATATGTAAGTGCTGCGTTTGTGGAAGCTGATGAATATAACTGTCTGCATTTCAAATTAATCTAATCCAAAAAAAATATAACATCGTAAGAGAAAATGGATACATGATTTAAAATAAAACAAATTATATAATGAACTTAGGGTATGGTTCTTTTTTTTTAGGAAGATTGAAAGAATCAACAAAAAATTTTTTTGAATTCAGCCCAACAATCATTTTTAGGAATGTTTAAAAGGAGGTCAATTTTGAAAGGTATATAGCCTAGATTGTTGGGATAATGAACCAAACAATCGTCCGTCCATGAACGAGATGGTTGATGAATTAAATGTAATTGCAAAAACAAATATAAATACTTTTGATGATTCATGGTGAATCAAATCTTAATATTAGATTAGATTTCAATCTCGTGTGACAAGAAAATATGATGTACGATCTTTAAGTTTCGGAGATTGAACTCTCATCCGTTGCGCCGCCACGCCATGTAAAGAAAAGTGCAAAATGCCGATCATCGAGAGTAATTTTGAAAAAGACTTTAAAATATAATTTAGACTTGTTTACTACTAAAAATTGTAGAAAGTTTATTATCATAGATGGGAATTGGAATCGATTGAATTGATTTAATTGTTTCTTGAGTTTCGATTCCAAGAGATTCAAATTCATTTTCGTTAATCAAAAAAAAATGTTGAAATTAATGAGTAGAAATTTTTTTTTTAAAAAAAAAAACTTTTGTTGTTAAACATCACATCATAAATTTTTATCAGATTTTGTAATTAGTTTTTTTTTTTTTTTTTACTATTTTCGGTTTGATCATTTTGGAAGTATGAGAATTTCGAAAACTACGCAGCATTTTTTTTTTACTTGTATTTTTGTCATTTTAATTTTTTTATTCTTTCTGGTTTATTTCCCCTATTGATTTTATGATATATACTATGTTTATTTCAAGTTGGATCAATTCAGAATTAGTATATGTAATAATTAAACTTTTTTTTTGGTTTCTCGAGTTGGTAAAAATAAATGAATGGTTGAAAAACTTTCTTTTGTGACAGATGTAGATCAATGTCTCACTTTTTTTTATTATAGATTGGATTATTCGATTTTCGATTACTTCGATGCTGGAATACCCGCAGATGGTTCTAGATATCTGGATCCGGGTATAAATATATTGTTCAGATTTGATATTAATGTGGAAAATAAAAATCGGTTTGTCCGTTTGCAATTTATTGTGCGAGCGACGATCTCTTCGTTCCTACGGATTTTACAATGTAGTACAATGAACCCGTTAAGCACATTCAAGTACTCAGTAATTTGTCATTTGTAATAAAAGAATTGTTAATTTGCAAAGTTTGGAGATTAATTTCATCCAGGAGGAAAACTAAAATTAAGATTATTACTATTGACCCAAACCGAATGGTGACACAATGGCACTGATTTAAAATTTTAAATATTGAAGGATTGAATCGATTAACATACTGTACAAGTCAAACAAATTAACGTTAAGTTTTTAAAAGTTGATTTTTATTTAAAATAGATAAGAAGATAAACCAATAATGTTTAATTTTTTTTCACTGAGTAGTTATTTTAAAATAAACAGATGAATTCCAAAAATTTCGTACTCCAAACTTTTAATCATATTCATATATTAAAAAATTATTTAAATACCCCACAACTATTTTGAAATTAAATGCATCATTTCTTTTTAACTCAAGACCTTAATTTTATCTTCTATTCTGACTCCATTGACTCCATTAAATGTGCCGGAAACAATAAATTCATAATTTTGGGAATCTTTAAGCTGTTCCAATACGGAAGTAAGTTTGGGATGGTCACGTTTGCATTCATCCCAAAGCCATGGTTCTCTGCTAAATTTCCAAAATATTAGAATGATTAAAATTAACAACAACATAATTGAACTGTATTTTGTCTTTAACCTGTTTTGCATCATTTGATTGTAGATTTCTGTAATATCTCCAAAATTGTGACTCCAATGAGTTCGAGATCCTCCTTGATAATCTTTGTGATAATTTTTCTCCAGACCCTCAGATCCCCATAACAAGGTACCATCCATCTTTAAACTTGCAGAAACAACAAAGGTGGCAATATAATTGATGGAAACTGATTGGTCGTGGATAATTGAAGTGACCTCAACTCTATTGAAATGAATTTAAATGTTGGCTTCACACGAGTTTGTGAAGTATATCAAAAAAACAAAATTGAATTACCTTTTTCCGGCTGGAATATTAATTTGATTTGTGCTTGTTTCAGTTCTTGTTAGGGTTTTGGTACCACCATCTTTTTTGAACAATTCTTGCGAAAATCCAAATTTGAGACTGATAAATGCTTCCCATATATCCTTGACACCTTGCTTGTAGGAGGCTGAAGTCTCTTGATTAAAAGTGAATTTCTTACTCGACTCCCAAATTACTTGCTCATTTACTGCGTAATCTACGTTCCTGGTTATAGTAGTACTGAAGTAATAACAGATATTTTATTAATGTAATTTCAGATTAAAGTAAGCATCATAAAAATTCATACTCTGTAGGGTAAGGTCCATAAATTGTGGTATTGACTTGACGTGGGTTGACGTACTCAATAATAGGGTCGGATGGTATTAAATCTTTGAAGTTAGACTTGAAATCATAGACATAAGATGGTAAAGCGTACTTGCGATCTACATCCTTCTTAGTGCAAAACCACATATAACCACTAGCTGTACGTCTGTAATGTCCACTTCCTATAAGGAATAAATGCAAATTTAACACAATTAATTTCAATCAAATTCTCAATAAAATTAAAAACTTACCAGCCCACGCTATTCCTAAATATTTGGCCAACTCATCAATGGGAATGAGCGTTGATTTCATAATTTCATTGTAAATGGTTTCAACACTTTTGCCATTATGAGGTATTGCCATAATGGATCTTCTGATATTGGCCTCCCAGGAGTTTATCTCTTTTAGTCGTTGTTGCCATACGGAATAAATAGATGGTCCACTAGCAGCAAGAAGATAGCTGTTTTTAAAAGTATTGAGATCTTTATGAAACCTATCCAATGTATCATAATTCCCATTCTTTACTTTGTCACGTATAAATTCAACTTTTTCGTCCCATATTTTATTACAACATTCCTTTGAAGCATCTTTGTTGTAACCGATCATGTTATCTTGTTCCGTATTGATTCTTACCACGAGGACGTTCTTACGTTGTTGGACATAAACTCTTGAAGTCTTTTTCTGACCAGGGAGAGCTGAAGTGCCGGAGTCAAAAAGCAAATGATATTTGACCTTGTTAACGTACAATAATGCTTCGATCATGAAAATAAGTGTTAATTAATAGGAATGAATTTATGTCGCAAGAGTCTTAAAAATATGCCTTTTCTTACTTGCTAGCTCTTCTTCTGACATTGGTATATTTGGCAATTTTGTATTGACTTTGAGCTTGTATTCATGAATAACATTATCATATATATCATCTACATTCTTTTTGAAGTCATCCATGTACTGTTTCAAGTATTCGTCATACTGGATACGAAATGCTAAATTCCTGGAAATCAGCTAGCAAATGACAAACAAGATTCTTAAATATAAGATCCTATAAATACATTCAAGTTAACTCAAAATTTTGAACTTACATTTGATTGGAAAATGTTACGGTCATTATGAATAATGAATTTCGGAAATTTTGCGATTTCTTGATCATATTTACTCATTATAACATCACTGCACTTGGAAGTAATTGTAAAAAACGTTTCAGGCTCCCCACGAAGACTATTATTTAATTGTACAACGTATTCTGCCATTAGCTGTTCACATGTTTGCCTGTAGTCTTCCTTGGCCTGATTTAGTCTTGATTCGTTGATATCTAATAAATCATCGACTTGGGATTGAATTATGTCAGAAAACTTTTTGATAGTGTCATCAGCTAAGTTAACTGGATATTCGGAAACAGATAATTGCTTGCGGAACTTTCTTATTGAACGATTAATATGATTCTTTACTTCAGACTTAATGTGATCCATTACGAAAGGCATTTTGCCGTTTGGAAAAAGTTGTTCAAGTTCAATTTGACACTTTTCCTCACTGGAAAACAATAATCTTCTCGCTGCCATTTCCCTGAAATCTTTGTCGTTAGAATAATCATTTACATTGTAAGTCAAATCCTTTATTTGTATTTGATCTGAACATTGACAAATGTTCCGATTATCTTCTCTATATCGTTTGGTAGGTTGTGAGGGAGTAATTTGTAAGTTACTCTCATCAGCCGACTGTTACGCAAGATCACATCAGAAAAAGAAGAGAAGGAATAATAAAAAGTTAAATAATCGAGGCAAAAAAAATAATGAAAAGAAATATGTTAAGTAGCTGTTTGTACCAATGTTATTGATGATTTGTGTTGATTTGTTTCTGATTCGATCTTCATTTTTAAATTTTTTGTAATTTTCTTGATTTTAACCTATTTATTTATGTTGAATATTTTTTTTTTTAACTTTGGTTTATTTACGGGTTACAAGATAACAATTTCACTTTCAAAAAAATTCATCATCGGTTAGTATGAAATGTATTGAATGGTTGCTTTTGGGCAATTATCAAAAAGCGACCGAGCCGAGTATTCGTAATACTTTAAATTCATAAACATACATTTATTGATTATCTGAAGGGGGACGACCTGATCAAGATCTTACCGATTTAGAAAAACAAATTTCTCCTGTGTACACGATATCTGATTGGATGATGGAAATTTTTGTCAAAAATTAATAAAATATAATAATAACAAACCAAACAAATATTTAGCAAATATTAAATAATTTCAGAACCATATTATTTTTTTTTTAATAAAAAAGTTTTTGAATACCGTTTTTCTTAATGTTAGATTTTTTAAAATTATTAACGCTAAAGTTATGATTTCAACCAATCAGGTAACCAGGAAAAATTGTAAGCGATCGAGTAAATCACAATGTTATTTTAATAACAATTATTTTTTTTTTCATGTTAAAAGCCTAAAATTCTTCTTATTTCCACATTTTCAATATCTATAACTTAGATTTTTTAGTTGCATTGCATTTCATAATGCATGGATATAGGGATTGGAATCGAAACTGCGAAAATCGCCAAGATCGAAAATCGAAACTAAAATCGATTAAAATTTTCAAACTC